TGGCTGGCCTTTGCCCCAGAAAGCAAAACTTTTCTTTAAGGGAGAACCAAAATGGCTCTGTGGGGGCTTTCGGTCCCTCTCGGGTCAGCTGCTTACATAGAATAGCCACCTGTTCTTCCTGGGACCTCCCCCCCCCTCTCTTCCCCCCCCCCTCTCCCCTTCCCTCCCTCCCTCCCTCCTTATAATACTCTCTTCTGAGTCCTTTGCTGATCAGCCTCACTGGATTCAGATGCTTCACTTTGATAGACGTTTAGCACGTCCTTCTGGGGAACCAATCTGAGTTTTCAGTCTTCCTCTCCTCGGAAAATGCTCTGGATATCAGCCAGAGGCCAAATGGGGTGTGATGAGCCAAGCAGCCGGAATTGAACTTTTGAAGGTGGCCATCCCGGCCGTCCCAGAAGGGTTGGGGGCTCAGGGCTGGACTGGTTGGGGTTTTGAGCTCCACGGACTCTCAGAGGGACCGGAACCGTGGGGCCCCCAAGGGTTGCATCAGAGGCATCTCCTCCTCCCCTTCTGTGGGGCCGGCCTGCCTAGTGGACACAGCCTGTCCGCCAACCGGCTCCTCTGGCTCACGGGGTCCTCTCGGCAGGTCACCCCACCTGAAGTGAGGCTCTCGGCTGCTGGGGTTCAGCGCCTGGGGAGGGAGATTGGGGGGAAGGGCTCGCTTGGGGCAGGTATGAAAGAGCCTCCTTTCGGGAATTGCAGCTGAGATTTTCCCAGGCCGCCTGGGGTCCTTCCTCACCAGCTGCCCAGGCGGCCTCGCTCCCTCCCAGGAGGGCTCACCCAGCCAAGGACAAATTTGCTTTGTGCTGTGGGGAGACTCTCCTGGGGGGGGCGGGCTTCTGCCTGGGGCCCTCCCCTCCTTTCAAGGCTCATCTCCTCCTCCTCCTCCACAGGTCAGCGTGCCCTCCACCATCGTGGGGAAGTGCTGGAGACCTTAGTGCTGCTGAACCCTTCGGACAAATCCATCTGTGATGAGGTGAGTCTCCCTGGGGTAGAGCTCAGCCCCCCCCCCAGGGGGGGGACACCGGACCCACAGCTGCCGCCCCTTTGTGGGGCTCTCTGCCTTGGCAGAGGGCTTGGGACGGAGGCCTGGAAGGAGGCCTGAGCAGTCCAGGAGGGCTCTGTGGCTGCCAAAGGGGAAGCGGGGAAGCTCCCCAGAAGGAGCTTTGGGGAGGACCAGCCGCATGGCCTCCCCCCCCCATCTCGCCTGGCAGAGGGGGAATCATGAGGACGGGGCCCACCCTCCCCCCAGCCCCTCTGGGTGTGAGGAGGAGCCTGGCAACTCCACCCCCCTCCCGGCAAGGCTGGTGACGTTTCCCCCCCCACACTATGGACAGAGCACTTGCTCACCCCCCTCCCCCCAATTCAGCCCAGACCACGGAATGGGCCGGTGGATGAAGTGGGCAAAGCCAAACCCTGCCGAGGACTCCTGGGGCCTCTTTTGGGTGAGGCCGGGTGCTTCAGGGCTATGGGGGGAGGGGGCTTCTCCGCGTGCCCCATTTCCCCCTCTTTCTCTCCCCCCGCAGCTCCGCAACCTGATCACCGACCCTTCGCGCCACAAGCTGCTGATCTTTGCGGGGCCCTGCATTGAGGAGACGGGGGAGCTGGTGCTGCAGCTGGGCTCCTTCTCCCTGAGGGACTTCATCCAGGTCTTTGCGGATAAAGAGGTGGGCCCCGGCCTCACCCGGGCGCCGGGCGGGGCAGCAGGAGGACGAGGAGGGGGGAGGCTGGCTGGTTCCGGAGCAGGATGCCAGGAAGTGGGGCTGGTGGTGGGGCAGGCAGCGGGTGACGATGGGCTCTCCGCTGCTCAGCACCCCTCGGGTGAAAGTGCCAGAGCAAAGCCAAGGGCACCCGGCCGATGGCACCGGGGGGGCCCTGGGGCTGCTAGGGGGCAGAGTCTGAAGCGAGGGCAGGGCTTAGTCCCAAAACTCCCAGAAGAATGGGCGTGAGCAGCAGCCAAGAGAGCAGAAGTCCCATCCGGAAGTGCCGGCCCTTGTGGAAAGGCTGGGCAGTGCCTGCTGACTGGCTCCCAGAGACTCCCCAGCAGCACAACCACCCGAACGACCGGGAAGGGAGGCGTCCAGCTGACCACCCTTAAGGGTCGCCCACTCCCACCTTTGAAAGAACTTGTGGACAAGCTGGGGAGCCATTAGAAACGGGCAAGAGAGAAATCGGGGCAAAGCCCCCTGAAGACCGAGGGGGCTCTTTAGCCTCCGGAAGGGAAAAGGGGGGGGGGCTTGGTGGGTGTATCGGCTCCGCCCTCTTCTCTCCCCAGGCGGCCTGGTGCCGCAAGGTCCCCAAGTGCCTGCCCCAGACCACCGCCCTGTGTCCCAAAGCAGCAGGAGAGAGCCCCCCCCCCAAAGTGAATGTTGAAGGGGGGAGAACCAGGCTCCATGGGCCCCCTCCCTTTCCCTCCCGTCACCCCTTGTGTGAGGAAGAGGCGCCCCACGGAGTAGGCGGGGGTTTCAACCCCCCTGACTCCCCCCCCCCCTCCTTCTCGTCTTCCAGGTTGGGGAGCTGCTGAGCTCGGCCGACCCCTCGGCCAAGGCCAGCCTGACCGTGATCTGCCCGGACTTTGGGGAGTGGAAGGACCCCCGGCTCAGCCAGCACAACCTCCTGGACTTCATCGACCTGCACTTCAACCCTGGCTGCGTCCTGCCCCCGATGGAGGGCTTGCAGGAGTTCACGGAGTACCTCTCGGAGTCCCTGGAGCCCCCCTCCCCCTTCGACCTCCTGGAGCCCCCCAGCACGGTGGGCTTCCTGAAGCTCTCCAAGCCCTGCTGCTACATCTTCCCTGGGGGGCGAGGCGACTCGGCCTTCTTCGCGGTCAACGGCTTCAACCTCCTGGTGAACGGGGGCTCCAACCCTCGCTCCTCCTTCTGGAAACTGGTGCGCCACCTGGACCGCATCGACTCCGTCCTGGTGACCCACGTGGGGACCGACAGCCTGCCCGGCGTGAACAGCCTGCTCCAGCGGAAGCTGGCCGAGATGGAGGAGGACCCTTCCTCCCGGGGCCCCCAGGGGGACGACTGGGGGAAGAACCTCATCTCCCCAGAGCTGGGGGTGGTCTTCCTCAACGCCTCGGAGAAGCTGAGGGAGATTGAGGGGGATTCCGGCCTCTTGAAGAGCTGCGACGAGGCCAGCCTGACCCTGCGGTACCTGCACAAACTGGGCATCCGGCCCAAGGCGCTTGCCAGGGAAGCCGCCCCCAGGACGGAGCCCACCATCCTCTTCCAGAAGATGGGCGTGGGGCGCCTGGAGATGTACGTGCTGCACCCGGTGAAGGGCAGCCGGGAGCTGGACTTCCTGATGCAGCATTGGAGCGGGAACGGCGCCCCCAAAGGGCTGGAGCTGCCCCTGCAGTGCCTGACCTCCATCTGCGCCCTCCTCGTCTGGCACCCGGTCAGCCCCACGGAGAAGATCGTCCGGGTCTTGTTCCCCGGCTGCACCCCCCAGGCCAGGATCTTGGAGGGGCTGGAGAAGGTCAAGCACCTGGAGTTCCTCAAGCACCCGGTGGTCACCCAGAAGGACGTGGACTCCCCCTCCCCCTCCCAAGCCAAGCACAAGGGGGCCGGGAGTCAGGAGAGCCTCAAGTCCGGCTCTCGGCTCAGCCTGACCGAATCCAAGGAGAAGGAGCCGAAGCCGGCCAGGGACCGGCCCAGGGCGCCCAGCGAGGCCTCCAAGGGCAGCCTGGAGGAGGAGAAGGCCAGCGGGGCCCAGCCGAAGACGGAGCCCTCGGCGGAGAAGAGCAGGCAGGACGCCAGGCCCAAGCAGCCGAAGGAGAAGCCCCCGGGGGCCAGGAAAGAGGGGGGGAAGAAGGCGCTGCCGAAGGAAGAGGCTCCCCGGGAGAAGGACGGGGCCCGGAAAGAGGGGAGGCTGCCCAGGAGGGAGTCGGCCAAGAGGGAGGAGGCCAGGAAGGAGGGGAAGACGGAGGAGAAGGCAGCCAAGCCGCCCACCAGAGAGCTGCGGAGGATGCCAAGCGCAGAGATGAAGAGGCCGCCCACCAAAGCGGGCACTTCCAAAAAGACAGTCCCTGCTCCCAGGAAGGAGCCGGAGAGGCCGAGGAGCAAGTTGCTGAAGGAAGCCCCCCCCGGGAAGCCCCCCAGCGGCACCAGAGGCGGAGGGCCCTTGGAGGGCTCTAAGCCCCCCTCCTCATCCTCAGAGAAGGACGCGCAGGAGAAGCTGCGCGGGGCCCCCCGCCAGGTGGGAATGGCAGGGCAGGGGCCGGGTCAGCCTGTCGCCCCGGCCGAGAGCCAGCTGAGGCCTCCCCCGCTGGGCAGTGTGGACCGCCAAGGGAACGACCCGCGGCCCGCCCAGAACGGCTTGAGCACAGAGGGGGCCCCAGAGAGCCCTCAGACTTTCCGGCATCTGGAAGCTGGCTCGCCTTTGAAGTGGATCGGGCCCCCCTCTCCACTGGTCAAGACTCCCAAGGGGGACCAGAGCATCCACCTGGAACTCTCACCGAGTGACCTTCAGCCCCGGCTCAACCACTGCCCAGATGCGGAGGACGCCGGCGGCAGCTCTGAGGAAAAGACCCTGGAGATGATGTCCCCAGCCAGCACGGGGCGCACGCCTTCCCACCACTCCCCCATGGAGGACGTGGCCATGGAGGAGGAGCCCGTGGCTCTCGGCAATCCCTGGAGGCCCGATGGCGCCGTCCCTGGCCCCCGAGCCTCGCACGACAACTCCAGCTCTTCCCAAGAGAAGCCCCCCAGCTGCCTCTCCCCGAGCCTCTACCGGGATGACCTCCACGACATCTCCCCCACGCTCACCACCCCCTCGCTGCCCGCCGAAGTGGGCTCCCCCCACTCCACCGAGGTGGACGAGTCGCTCTCGATCTCCTTCGAGCAGCTCCTTCCCCCCGTGAGCGAGTTCCCCCAGGAGGAAGGAGAGGGCATGCAGGCTGGAGGGCTCACCCCAGACCCCGAGCCCGCCTTAGGGAAGAGCGGCATGTCCCTGCCCATCCTCTCCTGCCACCCCCAGCGCCTGGATGGCCGCGTCCTGCCCAGATCCGGCCAGCGGTCGGATTCCCCGCACGACGTGGATGTCTGCCTGGTGTCCCCTTGTGAGTTTGAGCACCCCAAGTCGGACAGGTCGCCATCAGCCAACTTCAGCCCCCGGGACATGTCCAACAGCAGCGACTTCTCCCAGGAGCTGGCCAAGCCCCCCTCGCACAGGAAGGGCCCCCGAGCCCGCCGGCCCCACCCTCTGCTGGACGAGACCCCGCCGACGTCCTTCAGTGAATCGCTCCCCACCCTCTCCGACTCAGATGCCCCGCCTGCCATGGAGGAGTGCCCTTCCCTCACGGCCGATGGCGGGCTGGACTCGGACGATGACACAGAGAGCCTAGCCCAGGCCGCCGACCCACTCCCGGCTGTCCTGAAAGACCCCTGCCCGCTCCCTGCCCAGCCTGGCATCTGCATGGTGGACCCCGAGAGAGAAGGGGCCACCAAAGCCAAGCGGGCCCCGTCGCGGGGGGCTTCGGCCCCTCCCAAAGCAGATGCCCTCAAAGCCGCCGCTTCCAACGCCCGGGTGAAGCCTTCCTCAGCCAGCCTGGGGGAGAGGACCCGGCTGCCGGCCCCCGGCAGAAGCGACCCCCCAAACTCTCGTGCCAGCGGGGACAACCGGCTGGCCTTTGCCCAACGGAACCCAAATGCCCGGCTTCTCCCGGGGGGAGGAAGATCAACCCCAGCAGGTAAGCCTCGCCCCTCCCCACCCAGGCAGGCCCTCCCTGGGTCTGGGCCACGGAGGGCTTCTCTGCCCGGAGCCCCTCTGACAGCCAAATGGGGCCCTGCCTGAGCTGGCCTCCCTGGCATTAGGCTCACTCCTGGCCTTGGGCCTGGAGGGGACCCAGCCGCCTTTGGTCCTCCCCACTGGTCAGCTGAGGCCAGGCGGGGCTGGCTGAAGGCGGCTTTGGGGGTCCTCCCGTAGGGTCCTCCCTACAGCTGCTCAGAGGGGAGGGGGGGAGGAGGAAGCCAATGGCCGAAGGTCAGGGGGTCCCGGGTGGGGGGTGGGGTCTGGGGCTCAGCCGGGGGCTCTCTGGGGCCTGGACCTTTGCTCCCCCGCCGCCTCTCTCCTTCCTCCGCAGGGGCCCGTCCCGGCCTGCCCCGCTGCCCAGTGTACCTGGAGCTGGCCTACCTGCCGGGCTCGGCCAGCGCCCAGAAGGTGGACGAGGACTTCTTCCGCTGCGTCCGCTCCCAGTGCTACGTCATCAGCGGGGAGGACCACCTGAAGGAGAGCGTCCTGCGCGGCATCCTGGACGCCCTGCTCTCGGGGAAGCAGCACTGGGACCACGACACCCAGGTGGGCCCCGGAGGGAGCTCCTCTGCCGCCGGGGGGTGGGGAGGGCCGCCGGCTGAGGGAATCTGTCTAACCACGAGGGTCTGCATCCCTGGTGAGTGGCCCCCCCCCCGTTTCCCCCAGGGTCCAGCAGGTCCGGTCAGCCCTGACCGTTTCCCCCTCCTTTGACTCCCTCTGGTGCAAGAGGAAGGAGGCCGCCCTCTCCGTCCCCTGTGGGGCAGCCCCCCGGATACCCTCCCTCTCGATATCCCCAGGCCCTCCACCCCAGTGGCTGTCCTTGGCACCTGCCCCCCCGCCCCTCTTCCCTCCGACTGGGGCCCTTGGAACAAGCCCGGACTGGCTCCTCCCCTTAAGGGACCTTTGGGGTCCATCTGCTGGTCACCCAAGAGACCCAGGTCCCTCCCCACGTCCAAAGCCAGAGCTCCAGGTTTCCCCCTGTGGGGGAGACTCCAATGTTTGATCATTGGGATTTAGAAGACAACCCCCCCCCCTCAAAACTCCAGAAGACCCTGGTCCCCCAGAAGACCAGGGCATCATCTCCCTCCTCCGGGTCAGAGGGCAGAGAGGAGGGCCGGACTGGGGGAGGGGTGAAGTGACCGCCTGGTTCTGAGGCTGATTAGGAGGCAGCCGACCACTTTTCTGCCCAAGCGGAGGAGGAGGAGGAGGAGCGGCCTTGGGAAAGGGGCCGGAGGAGAGGAGGGGGCTCTGCGGGGGGCTCTCGCAGGGGCTCCCGAGCGCCCTAAAGGGGAGGGGGGGCGCAGGGCGAGTGGGGCTGGATTCGAGGCTCTTCCCGTCTGCCCTCTGCACAGGTGACCCTCATCCCGACCTTCGACTCGCTGGTCATGCACGAGTGGTACGCGGAGACGCTGGAGCGCCAGCAGGAGCTGGGCGTGACCGTCCTGGGCAGCAACAGCACCGTGGCCATGCAGGACGAGACCTTCCCCGCCTGCAAAGTGGAGTTCTGAGCAGGAAACCCCCCCCCCCCCGGACTGGGGCTTCTCGGGGGTGGGAGGGGAGGAGGGGGTCCTGGGTGGGCCGGCTCCTTCCAAAGCTCTGCTTCATGCCAAAAGAGCCCCCCCCGCCTTCCNAGGCTTGGAGAGCTGCCAGGCTGATATCTTCCAAACTCCACGCTATAGCAGCAATTCCTTGTCAGGAGCAGATCTTCCCTCTAATGAATAGAACTAATTGTCTCCTGCAAACTCCACTCCCCTGTCGTTCCTCTTTATTCCGTATGGGAGGGGCCTTTCACCAACACCTGTGCCTTTACTCCCGAGTCAACCCTTGGTCCTTAGTTGTTCCCTTCTCCTGGCAGCTCTGTGCATGCACACACTGGGAACAGGCTCCAGCTGTTCTTCTGCCTCACTGATGCCTGACTCCAAAGGCAGCTGATAACTGTCAGACGGCCCTGGCCCCCCCTCTGCCTCCGACACAGAGCCTCATCCGAGCCTTCCCCAGACTCCAGGACTGGCCCAGGTTCCTCCCCAACCTCCTCACTGCCAGCTCTGTTGGCCGCTAGTGAGCCACAACAGAGGGGATTGCACGATCCCAGGACATTGCAACCATCATAAATCGCAAAGTGTCTGAATTTTGATCCCGTGACCATGAGGATGCTCCAAGAGTCATGTGATAACCGGTCACAGGTCACTATTAGTAGCGACGTCATAACTTCAAACAGTCACTAAATGAACTGTTGTAAGTCAAGGACTACGTCTTTTTTTGTTTTTCGTTGCCTGCTTTATTTTTTATTGACTGTGACCTGCCTTGAGCTGAGTCAGACCATATAATTAAACGATTCAGAGAAGTGAAAACAGTATTTTCTCAGAATTGTCCTACTCGCGTGATTTATTTTATTTTATTTGTCTTTTGCCAGATTTGCTACCACAAATCTGTCCACATGTATACAGTGCCAAGAATATTTTTTAAAATAGTGGAAATCGTTAAGCTTTTACCATTTTTAAATCTATTCGTAACTCATAAACCTAACTCCCATATGATGAAATATGATAACCGTACAAAACCCATAATTAGACCGATTTCTCTTCCTGATATTCATTCAGGCGTGCTATGCCCCGTGGCACTTAAGTCACAGGAAATGATTTACAGAATGGGCACCCGAGGCTGAAATCCTTAAGAGTCAAACCTATTAAATGCTGTAGCGAAGTTTATAAGGACATGACACATTAACACAAAATCTTGTTCAACAAGGAATAGAGAATATAGAATAACAAAGAGTTGGAAGGGACCTTGGAGGTCTTGTAGTCCCACCCCCAAGGATGCAGGATCAAAATTGTACAGGCAGTTCGAGTCAGCTGGAGCGGATTCTGGAGTCAGAGGTGAAGAAGCTTCCTGGATGAGAAGAGAAATGTCTTCAAAGAAAAAAAAAACAGAAAGTCCAGTTGCCTCTTGAAAAAAGCACCTTTGGGACAACCATGACCTGGGTGACGGAGAAGCTCCATAAACAGCTGGAGTTTTTCATCCAGATGCAAAATTTATCTATCAGAACTGCTGTCTTCTAGGAGATTAGAACCAGTTTGGTCTAGTGCGGTGGTCTCCAACCTTTTTGGCTTGGGAACTTGGCTGGGGTGGGGGGGGGAGGGAACCGGAACGCACACGCAGCTTACACAAGCGGCAGGTTGGCACGCATGGAATATTTGTCGCTGAGGGTTGAACTGTGAGATCCTTGGTGTTCTCAGAGTTGTTTTCTTGCGGACGTTTCGCGACCCAACTAGGTAACACCATCAGTTTTATAGATTACCTCGTTTGGAGAACGCTCTAAGCGAGGTGCCCCTAGTTTAAATGCAGATTTAAAGTTGATTGTTTTACTAAAGCCAATGACAGGGGTCCTTGTTGCTCTCCGAGCTCGGTTGTTTTCTTGCAGACCTTTCACAACCCAACTAGGTAACCTCATCAGTTTACTAGAGCACTTAAAGTTTGGAGAAGGCTTCAAACTAGGTCGCCTTCGTTTGAATGCAAGTTTAAAGTTGATTGTTTTAATTAGGCAAATGAGGGGGGGATTCTTTGGTGCTCCTCCCTGAGCTGGGTTGTTTGGAGGCAGATGTTACCTTCTCCAAACTAGACGCTCAAGCCTGGGCAAACTTGATGTTGTTAATGCTAAGAGCGCCTAGTTTGGAGAATGCAAGAAAACAAACCCAGCTCAGGGGGCACCAAGGACCCCGTTCATTGCATTATTAAAACAATCCCCTTTAAATCTGCATTTAAATCCAACAAACACAATGGGCAGTTAGAAAGGCTGCCCATTTTGACCCGGAGAGCCCCTCCCCCAAAAGATATTAAGACCACCCCCCTCTCTTTCCAACCCGCACCCATTTAGGATCAGTTCGGCTCTCAGAGTTTGAAACACGTGTCATCCATCCATTAAACTCGTAAGGTTCGTTTCTCTCGCCATATCCAGGTATACATCCGAACTAAAGCGTCTTGTTTCTCTGTGTCATATAATAATATATGTGGGTATATATGCATAATTCTGTATTTATTTATTCTGTCGTGTTTATGCAGGGTATATTGGAGGAGGTGACCCTCTGAGAGCTGTAGGCAATGAAATTTCGTTTGGATGTATGATGATTAGTGTACATTCGAAGTGACAATAAAGTTATTATTCTATTATAAGTTATTATTCTATTATAAGTTATTAT